ATTTTATGTCCAATTTCAAAAAAATATTATTTATTACTATCTTAATATCTGGTTGACCAACCATTGTTGGCAATACATTCTTCTATCCTTCTGGGAATACTATCAATCAAATTCAAATATTTTTCACAAGGAATTTGTTCCCATTCTTGTCTCAAGAAAATTTCCAACTCTCCCAAAGTTTTTGGATGTTCAAATCGATTTTTTAATCTTTGGCCAAGTTCATCCCATAAGTACTCAATGGGATTAAGGTCTGGTAAATGAGAAGGCCAATTTTCAAGAAGGATGTGCTCCTTCTCAGACATCCCTGTTAATTCACAATTTGTTCCCATTTTTTAAAAAAAAAATGGCCATCAATTTCATGATTCCATAATTTTAATGCCAAATTTATTTTTAATGTTATCATAATTAAAAATTTCACAAAATAAAATTTGGTATCAATAAAATTTTTTTAAGAGCCAATGCTTTCAAATGATATAAAAATCGCAATTATAATTTTTAGAAAAGTGCAAATCAAAATGATCATCAATTTTGTAATTTTAATGCTGATTTCATTTTTAGTTTTATCATAACAAAAACTTCATAAATAAAGATTTAACAATAATAAAAAACTTTTTCAAGAACCATAACTTTAAAATGGTGTAAAGGTCACAATTATTTATTTAGTAGGATTTTGTAAAAATGCAAAATAATTTTTGGGTACAAACTTTTGTCCATTGAGTGAATGTATATTGTTGCAGAAAGAGATGGTTAAGTGAATCTTTAGAAAATGCAGCATATAAAGCAAATACACAATTACTTGCTAATTTTTGGGATAAAGATGAGATATTATTAAAAGAATGTGCAGGAATTCAATTTCAAAGGCTTTTGTGACTTGTGGTATTTGCAATTCACTTCCACCAATTATTATTTTATAATAATAGTATTTTGGTTGTTTCTTTTTAATAAGCAAAAATAAAAAATAAAGATTAAAAAAAAATATTTGTTTGGTTTGGGGTTTTGAAATAGTTTAGGAGTTTCAAAATAGTTTAGGAATGTCAAAAACAGTTTAGGAATTTAACAGTTTAGGAGTTTCGAAACGGTTTAGGGATTCGGGCTCATTTTCTAATCCAGTTTAGAATGGTTTTAATATCATGTTAATAAAAAAGACCTATAGTATATGTGACATGTAATAATAATTGTTCAGGCAGGGCAAATAAGAATAACTTATTACTTTGGTTAATAATGTTGGGTTGGTGTGAAATATGTGAAATTTATATATTATTGAACAGTAGACGATCTTTCTAATTTGGAACCAGCGATTTTAACAACGCGGAGTGTAATATTAATAATATCCATTGTACTTTTCTATTTCTTAATTAATACACATTATAGAACGATATTATGTAAAAAACTCAAATTAAACGATAATATTAAAAATTTGAACTGTGTAATTATATTAATTTTTAAATTATCCTGTGTACTCTTCTGTCATTAAGAGATGATATTTTAATCTAGAACTTTTCAGGAACTCAATTGTTAATTTACGATTTTTTAGAAAGAAATCAATAGCTTCCGATTCGGTAATCACCATACGAATTTCTCCTTCAGATGGGGGTACTTTTCAAAATTCAAGTTTCTTATATATATAGTACTTGGGTTCCATTTAGGATCGTTTTCTTTATCAATTAAAAGTGCTTAACTCTAGCTCTAAATCAAGAACATTTTTATAATAATAATAAAATTTATATTTTTGAATTGAAATTATGAGAAAAATACAAACTAATGTGCGATTAGAACATTATTTAAATATATATTTTTATTTACTGGTAGATAAGTAAGAAGAATAATTATTCATTGTGATCTTCCTCCCATGCGACCAATATGATAAAATACTATTTCTTTTGTTAATTTTCGTGCCTCCTCTTTTTTTCTTTCTTGTATTGCCTTCATATACTCTCTTAAACTTTTTTTCTTTTCTTCAATACATTCATCTCTTAGTAATGATACAGTAAAATTATTATATTCTTCAAGAAATTTATTTACGTCTTTCTCCAAGAAATAAGAATTTTCATTTATAAAAATATCACTATTATTAGCTGCATCTTTACTGTCATTGTTAACATCATTATCAACATTGATATCAGTAAAAGTAAGCCTTGGTGGCAAGAAGCTCTGATTAATACTAGGATGTTTTATGTGTTCAACATATGGTAAACATCGAAACATTTCATCTGGATACCTATCTGTTTTTTTAAGATCTTCAAAGCTAAAAAAAGCAATAATAAAAAATGTTATTATTATTGTGGTTATTATTATTATTAGGGATTTTTTATATTTAATAATGTAATATAGAAGAATATAATATAATCATAATCATAATCATATTTTACCTAATTGTTTTTTCTACTAAACAACTTTCACAAATTAATATTTTAAATTCCCATCTCAATGCTTCATTATTTTTAACTTCAGCGTCACAAAAGTAACATTTTGTTGCCAAAATACTCAACCAAATATATTGTTGTTCTGAAACATTTGGTGGTGGCGGTCTATCTACTTGCATTTGTTTATCACAATGCTTTATACGCGAGTTACGCCATATTTGTTGTGTATATGGTGAATTAGACCATAGAAATTTTCGCAGCTTTTTGCAAACTGTTGATAAAGTATATAAATCTGATGGTAGCAAGTATTCGCATATTTCTACTAAAACTTCATCAACCAACGTTAATAAATTGGTTTCTTGTGACAATAATGTGTATGAGAAATTTTCTGTTGATGTTGTTGTTGTTGTTAAAGATGAAGATGATGGAGATGATAGAGGCGATGAATTTTGTTTGATAGAAGTATCATTATCATTATTTATTAAATCATCATGTTTAATTAAATTGACACTTTTATCGTTATTATCATCATTATCGTTATCATTATTATTTAACGTCGCTACTTCAGAAGTTTTGTCATCATCATTTTCTTTTTTTGCGATAATTTCTTCATTCATTTTTTGTTTATAAATAATTATAAAATTTTTCATTCATTTACTTATGAATTCTTTTCATAATGGATATTCCATAAAAGATAAATCGTACTACTATGAATTTTTTAAATAGAAATTTTAATTTATTGTGTAGATAATCGTCGTATATAGTAGAATAAAATGTGAATATTAAGTAAATCTATATATTTAAAAAATGCCGTCATCGTCAATGTTTCATTTAGAATTCCCTAATACCTTCACATTCTTTTTTTCTCTATCAACACATTCTTTTTCTTTCCAATGCTTGTGATTGAGTTTCCATTCTTTTTCGCCTGTAGCCTCTTCAATTTCTTTAGTAAACCATCTAGGATGGAATTCTGGAATATACCAGTTTCTCTTGACTTTCTTTTTCTCTTTGTTTTCCCCTAACCTATTTTTTTTCGAACTTGCAGATTCATAACCACCTAATGTCATTGATCTTTGATCAGACCTAAACCTTGAATATGTAGGGTATTCAAGTTTCCATTGAATTGGGTAATCATTGCAAACGGTGTTAAGTTGAAGGTAAATGTTCGGGTGCTTTTTTCATAATAATACAATTGGTCTTTGTTGTGGTTGGGTGACGATATTTGTAATTCGAGTTTAAATGTCGATAATTTAACTACGGTGCAGATCATCTATAATCAATTAGCTAAAAAAGTTAGCCGATAAGTTTTTTATTATTTGTGACTCAAGCTTCAAATTTTATCAACAGACCAAATTTTGTTATAAGAAATTGAGACTAAGTAAATTTTGTGCAATAAAATTTTTTCCATATATTACTATATATTAATACTTATTTCCTTTATTTTTACACGAATTTGACTTACTTTTTAAAGCTGAATTCAATGGTGGTGGTTTTTATGTGGGATCACATAATATTTCAAATTTTTTATCTTTTAAGTATAGATGGTCCGCACTGTGCCTAAATTCTCTTCATGTGTTGAGGGGCATAAATTATTATTCTAGCGACCAACCTTTCATTTCATCTATATACAATCTCCAAAATTGCTGTCATATTTACCTCTCAACCCTAGCTTTAAAAGTTGAACTAATCTCCTGTCAAATGATTCGTTATAGTCATAACTCACAGTTTAACCAATTATTTCCATGAATAATGTTCAGAAAGTGCTTTGGGATTACCATTTGCTGGAAAGTCTTTAGTTAATATTCCTTTAAAACTTTTAGTCTCATACGCTTACAAAGAATAAAGTCGGCAAGATGATTGAGGAAACTGAAAAATTCGCAGAATCAGGTACAAAACATAAAGATGTTATTGAGGCAAGCTAATCAATAATTTATGAAATAGAGAAACATTTAGATCAATTCAAAAATTAGGTGGATGCAGAGTTGTCACTAAAAACTTAAAGAAAAATGGGGAAATTAAAAGATGTAATTGCAAAAGGAGAAGATGCGAATACTGAAGGAACTAAACAAGAAATGCATGAATTAAAACAAGACAGTATTAAATTGTTTGAAACATTACATGCCAGAAATAATAATAGTCAACAATCGTCATCATCATCAGAAGGTTGAGGGGACTCGTCCAATTCATCATCAAAAATTATAATGTGAAATAATCAATCATCCAAAACTAATAAAAAAATTAGCGTCAATAAAATATAAATTTACTTTGTAAATGAAGATTTTTTTATTTTAGAAAAATAAAAAACCATCCGCATTCCTTAAATAAATATATAACAGTGGGTTCTTGAAAAAAAGAAAATAATTATTACCATCATACCAAAATAGTTTATCTTTACAAGAAATAAATATTAATTATTACTCACAGTTACGGCCATACATAGTGAAAAGCACCGGAACCCGTCCGATCTCCGAAGTTAAACCACTAATGGCCCAGTCAGTACTATGGTTGGGGACAACATGGGAATACTGGGTGTCGTAACTTTTTATTTTATTTTTCAAAAAAAAAAATTTTTTTTGCTACGTATATTTTATTAAAAACAATTTATCAATCAATCAATCAATCAACGATAACATTATTTTACTGGACTTGAATTAGTTCAATTAAATTTTGTTTTGGTTGTTTCATATTATCAGGAAAATATTCCAATAATATTTCATACAATTCCATTCGATCATTAAATGAATTATATATTTCATCTATTATGTTTTTTTTTTAAAAAAAAAGATTATTTACATGTGTAAGTAAATATATATACAAATTACATAAATAAATTATACTATCAAGATTTACCTCTTTTTATGTTAAATAATCCAGATGTTAAAGCTTGGAATTCAACACGTTCTGATTCATTTTCTTGATCCACTAATTGGCCTAATTGAACCTGAAGATATTTTAATGCTGCTATGGAATTACCCTCAAAACATAACTCTTTGTACCTAAATAAAAAATAATTATCAATGATTATTTCAAAAAAAAAATTGAATAAAGCAAAGATCCTTACTTTTGTTTTCGTATAAAATATTTAATTCCTCTTAGTAAATTCTCTGGTTTTGGTCTTTAAAAAATACATTAATAAAAACGAATTATAGATTACTTATCTATACTATTGATTAATTAATTGCCACCTTATTAAATGAAATTCCCAAAAATCATCTAATCTTTGTTTCATTGAAGCTTCAGTTTCAACAAATCTACCGCCAAACAAATAATGAACTTTATTTAGATTATCGTAGATGAATTGATGTGCAAGTCTTGGCCTAGGCTCGACAGTTTCATTACTTAACCAATAATATGAATCATGGATTTCACTCTGATATATTTTCGTCCATCTGTCTTTTAATAAATCATAAACCCAAAAGGCGTTCTTGATTACATATGATCTCTTGTCTCTCTTCTCTCTTAGTCCAACTAAGACATAAATTTCTTTTGTTTCTAAATCAATATTTATACGATGAATAAAAATCAAATCTTGGTCACATCTTGTCATATATTCAGTTGACAATTCATATACTGAATCTGCACTGATATCATATACAAAAAAGTCGCTGTGGAAAGAGCAATATGTAGAATATATGTAGATGTAGATATTAATTATATTATATTATATAATTATTTATAACCTAGTCCGCCTATATATATACAATCAATTAATCCCAATGTAAGACAAACCTTAAAAACATGTTGTCACAATCTCCCCCTCCAATTATATATAATAAATTTTCATCTGGATCAAATAACATCGAGATACCAACTCTTATCCTAAGTTGAGCTTGATCATTTGGTAATTTATATTCAGATCTATAAAAATATATTTGTAAGGAATATTAGTTGTCAATAGATGGAATAAAAATATTTTATCAGATATATAAACAACCTAATTAATTTCCATTCATTTGTTGGTATGTTGTATGAATATAAGCCGCTAAAGTTAAATTTATCTGTGTCTTTATTTATTATTTTTCCACCAAATATATATAATATTTGGTTTTCATAATCTATACACATTTGGTTATCGTATGTTAATTGGGGTCCACCTTCGGACTAAAGTAAATATATAACAAATATATGATTTATATATGTTATAAATATAATAATCATATCCATATAATTATAAATGTATAAATGTATATATATAAAAATACTTGCCGCAGTATCCTCAGAAAGTAAAAACCATTGGTTAGTGGTGATATTGTATTGGTAAAAATCTGCATTAAGATTGACAATTGATCTCATCTCATGACTAATAAATTTTCCATACACATAAATTTTCTTGTATTTTGGATCAAAACACATTTTATGATTTGATCTTGGTTCTGGTCCACCTTGTCTAATTATAAAATATATATTTTAAGTATATATAATATACAGAAATATATATTTTTATATATATTATATTAAACAAATAAACATACTCTTCAGTATCAGAACTTATTAGTGACCATGAATTCTTATTAATATTGTAAACCCAGAAATCTGATAAATTTGTGGTTCCATTCCAACCTCCAAGCAAATAAATGTCCCCAGCCTTTAATTTAATAATCAATCAATTATTAATTGGTGATATAATATGTTGTTAGATATTTTTTTATAATTTATAACAATCACACACACATATATATATTGACAATGTAATGTTTGAATCCAATCAATAATCACCTCTGCATCTATACACATTTGATGTCCACCTCTCATACATGGAACTTTATCATCTGGTATTTTTATAAAAAAGCACAATAATTAATTCATTAGTATATTTTTTACCTAAAAAAAATTATAATCATACCTGTATCATCATCATCATCATCATTCCTATTTGTTTCAATTCTTTTCCAATAATATTTGTATATACATTTACGAAGATAATCTTCAAACAAGCCATTTGTAACAGCTTCACATATAATCTCTTCTGATAATTGGAAATCACCATTTATTACTAATTGAGTATATAGATCAGTCAGAACTGGATCTTCCAATAATATATGTGTACGTGATTGTAAAGCATCAAAAGCGTTCAAATAATTTTTTTGTCTAAAATGCTTTAAACAAAGTCGAATTGCTTCGTTTTCACGATACTAAATTAAATTTAAATTTAAAAGTTGAAATTTTCAATGTTTATTTCAATTAAACGCCAATCTTCCATTCTAATAATTTCAATAATGACTTACAGCTAAGTAGTCATAGTATGCTTTTTGAACAATTTCTTGATCTTGAACACCTTTTAATTCAACATACCATATACTAAAACTATGATTTGTTGCATATGCTGCAAGTGGAATTATTTTAATAAATTGGAAAGGTAATAACTACTCACATATTATGTATATTTATTTATTTATTATTATTTATATTATAAATATGTTGATTATTATTAATACTATTAGTAAAAAAACTTTTTTACTTACTACATTATTTGTACAATATTTAAGTTGAAATGTTTCAGCATGAGGATTATTTTGTAAACCTGGAATAAATTGATTTTATGAGCAACTAATTTTGACAAAAAAATAGATCTTAACGTAAAAAATAATAAATAATTACCATTATGAAGAATCTCTATCATGTTATTTGGTGCAAGTCCTCCATACACTTTAAATTGCTTAAGATTACACACATGCTCTAAAAATCAATAATTTAAATAAAAATAAGAATCTAAAGGTATACTACATGTATTTATTCACAAGTATAAATAAATTACCTTTAAAATATTTTCCCAATACTATATTATCTTAAAATAAATTCAAGAAAGTTGTTAATTCTAATAATTTTTCATGAAATTCAATCATAAATTTCAATGCATTATTATTAAAGAAATAACTATGTATACAAGGATACAGACAATGGCCATTTTGTCTAGTTTTAATAGGACATATTGAGTTTGTCTACCATTATTATAACATGACCATCTGGAAGTTTGTTCAGAAGGTTTATTTTCCATAATGTTTTTTGGATGATATGACGTCGAATAAGAAGAACAAGAGTGAATCTCGTATGATAACTTTTCAATTGGATATTCGTGTTGAAACCGCTGTCTTTTTTTTATTGATAACGACATGATAAATTATAATTTTTGGAGATTTTTTGATTGATATTGATCGAGTAAAGAGTAAAGAAATTTCAATGAAATAATTGTAGATCATTACTAAAATAATTGTTTGAAGTTCATGATAATTACCATTTTGTTCTTTTTGCTTTTTTTTTTATTTTACACATTTCATCTTAAATATAATAATTGTTTTTAAAAAATGGACACTGACCAAGAAGAAAGTATAAATGAAGTTTCTGAAAATCTTGTTAACGAAGAAGTTGATGCTGATTCACCAGATTCTTCTGAAGAAGAGGAGGAAACTGATGAAGAAACTTACAAAAAAGTATTGTAAACTTAAAAAAAGCCCTTTTTTTTTGCTTAATTGATTTTATAAATACATATATACATCTATAGGAATCAAAAGGATTTATTGTTGACGATGAAGAAACTGAAGATGAGGGGGTAGGAGAGGAAGTGGTGGAAGAACAAACAAATAAATTATTTTTCAAAAAAAGGAAACACAAAAAGAAAAAAAGAAAAAGAATTGTAGAATGTTGGTATTTTTTTTTCTCGTAGTTCTTTAAATATTATTGTTAATATTAATCATCTTTTTTTATTTAGCCGATGATTCTGACGATGAAATTCTAGAAGATGATCTAGACCTTTTAGCAGAAAATTCAGGCCAACATAAACGTCTTAAACGTGGACATAGCAGAGATAAGGATGTTTCTAAAATATTTGATGAAGATGAGGAGGAATTGGGTCTGGAAAATCATGATAACGATTCAGATTTCATTGTTGATGATTATGAGGAAGCCGCCGGATTACCTATGGAGTATGAACATACTCCACAGCCTAAATTATATAAACAATCAGAAAGTTACAGATATATAGATAATGAGTATGTAGTAATACTTATTCTCATTTAAGTGATTCTTTAAATATTGTTGCATAAAATTAATTTTCTTATGTTTATTTACAAATAACTATATATTAATTTATTGTTTAGTGCTAAATCAACATGGCATTACGTCTTTTCAGATTTAGATGGTCTATATATCGACGCGCTTGATTCACCTGTAAGTTATCCATTCTCTCATATTTTAATTTAACATCGTTACTAATGTGCGATTGTTCACTAATAGGAGCCTACAGAAGATATAGAGTTTGCATCCCAAGGTATCAAAGCAATTTTAGATCCAAATACTTTAAAGGCAATGATGATGACTGATGAAGACAATGAAATTCGTGAGAAAGATTTACCAGAAAGAATACAGGTAAATCTATCATTATACAGTTTACGAGTATAAATATAAATTTCCTAAAAAGTGAATATATATAATAATTATAATTAATTAATTTGTAGTTGAGAACAGAAATTCCAACAGATTATAAACTTAGTGAGGCTGAAGTTAGAAAAGCTGCTAAATGGATATCAAATAAACTATTCAAATTCAGAGATCATAGAATAATAAATCAAAATGATTTACTAGAAGCTGTAAAAAATGTAGTAAGACATATTTCTCAAGAATTTTATGAGGTTCCATTCATTTTCACCTACAAAAGAGACGAATTTGTTCAATTTGTTGATTTCAATGGAAGACCTAATGAAATTTTGACAAGAGAAGATCTCTGGATTATTTATGATTTGGAATATACTTTTAGGAAATTTTTAGAACGTCGTAAATATGTAAAGGAATTTATGGACAAATATAGTATTAATGATGATTATATAAACGGGATGACTGTTGAAGCTACAAACGTTGATGAATTGAACGATTTACTTGATTACTCTCATCTCAAATATGGATCTGAAATTGCTTCGAAATCCACTCCTCCTACTCAGAAACGTAGAACGAAAAATTCATTCTATCGGGAATGTTGTAAACGTGGCGTTGGTAAATTAACTAAGGTAAATTTAAATAATCTTTTTTTTATAACAGAACATAGTTAAATAATCAATTTTTTATTGCTTTGCTATTAAAAGAAATTTGGAATAGATATTGAAAAATATGGTGAAAGTCTATCTTCAGATCATAAAACTTATTGGCCCATTGATCCTGACAAATCAATTAAAGAAGAGGCTTTACAACTTAATAATTTTAATGAAAACAGAGCAAATCTATTTATTAAAGGTAGTATTTGGTCATTGTTTTTTAATGAAATTTATAGCAAATAATTAATTATTACTTGGTATTTTTATTTAAAGATGCTGTAAGAATGCTCTCCCAAGAAATAGCAACTACTCCACCAGTCAGAAAATTTGTAAGAAGTTATTATTTAAAACATGCAAATGTTGTAATTTGTCCAAATAAGATTTTAACAGAAGAGGATAAAAGTTGCTGGGTAATTCATTAAAAATTTTTTTCCTCGATTGATAAAAAAATAATATTAACCATCAAAAAAAAATTTTTTTTATGAAAAATAAGTCATTCCGATTTTTGAAAAAACCAATTCAAAAATTTGCTAACAGTGGACAATTTGCTGAAATTTTAAAAGCAGAAGACGACGAAATGATAAAAGTTTCAATTGAATTAGATGATAAAGAAAAGTTTTTACGAAGACTAAAGGAATATATAGTTAGTGATAATGCCACCAATGACCCAACTATTAATGAATGGAATAAGTATAGAATGGAAGCTGTTGATCAAGCATATAGTGCTAATCTTGTTCCGTTCTTGAATTCGTGGCTAAGAACAATACTCAAGAATGATGCTGAACAATGGATTATGGAAAAATTGATGTTAAGTCTTGAAAATGTATGTAGTCTTTGTATTTTGTTCAATTATATCATGTTAAGCTATTAATAACAATAACAAATAGTGGTGATTAATAATCATTTCTTTCATCTTTTTTAATAGAAAATTAATTTTAAACCATTTAGACCTGCTGGGTCATCTAGAAGAAATGATACATCTGCTGAATCATCATCTAATAAAAATGACTTGCCCTCTGTTTTAGCAATTTCATGGGGTGCTGGTGGTCATAAAGCTAATACAGAGTGCGTATTGGTTGGCAGTCAAGGAGAAGTTATGGATACTTACGATTTTGGTGATCTCAAGAGTGGTCAAGAGGATTTTTTTGGATTATTGAACCAATACAAACCAGAAGTTGTAGTAGTTAAATGCTATGATATTAAAACGAAATATTTATTGGAAACAGTCCAGACTTTTGTCAAAGAGTATAATGATGAAAAAAATGGTTATATTCCTGTGATGGTAGTTAATGATGAACTTGCTCATATTTATAAAAATTCAAAAGCTGCCATTAAAGAACACCATGATCGCAATACAACAGAGGTTACTCGTTATTGTATTGCATTGGCTAGAACAATTCAAGATCCTCTTAATGCTTATGCATCTCTTGGTGAATTATTAGCAGATATTTCCCATCATCCATTACAAAAACTTGTGAGTATCTATCTGATGATGATGATAATGATGATGATAAGAATTTATTCATTTATTTAGATCCATTGCTAAAATATATATGCATGTATTTTTAAACAGTTACCTAAAGAAAAGGCACTTCAAGGCTTGGAACGTGCCTTGATCAACATAATAAGTCAAGTTGGTGTCAATATAAATGATGCTATCAGAAACCCCTATAAGGCTGAAATGTTGAAATATGTATGTGGGCTTGGTCCTAGAAAAGTTGATGCTTTACTTAAAATACTTAGATTTGATGATCATGAGGAGGTGACAACAAGGAAGGATTTAGAATCATACCTGGGAAAAAATATAGTTTATCATAATTGTATTCCGTTTATTAGAATCTATCCAAAACCAATTGAATATTTAGATAATACAAGAATTCTTCCACAACATTATATTCATGCCCGTAAAATGGTTACAGGTGCATTGGAGCTTGGTGATGATGAAATAGAAGACGATAACGAGATTGCGATAAAATTGGAAGATTATAAAAAATTGAAATTAGAATCATCTAAGCTTAATGATTTGAATATCGAGGATTATGTAACGCGTATTAAAGATTTAGATAAATCAGCTACATTATTCTTGATTCATATGTACAAAAAAGAATTGCTTGATCCATTTGAAGATTATAGAAGATCATTTGAGCCATTGAAACCAGAAGAGGTTTTTGCAATGTTAACTGGAGAAACAGAAGAAACTTTGGCCTATGGAATGGTAATACCAGTCACAATCACCAACATTAAACCAAAATTTGTGGAGGTTAAATTATTATCAGATTTGAGAGGTACAATTTTACCAAGTAAAAATGAAAAAAATTTTGAAATAGGTCAAATGGTGATGGCAAAAGTTTTGAAAGTTGATAAAGAAAAGTTTTCAGTGATTTTAACTACAAGACATATTGAACATGATGATGATGATGAAAAACTAGATAAAACACAATTGGATGATTATTTTGATCACGAAGCAAAGAAAGAATATATTGAACCAAAACCAAGTAAAATATAAATTTATTCTTTTTTTAAAGTTATATTATTAATCATAATATTTATAATTTAATATTTATTTATTATTAGTAATAAGAGAAACACTTATCCCCAAAGTTGAGTTTATACGTACTCTTGATCATCCATATTTTGTCAAAGTTAAAGATTACAAAGAGGCAGAAAATCATCTTGCTGAGAAACCTAATGGAGAAATTATTATTAGGCCCTCATCAAAGGGATATAATCATCTTGCAATAACATGGAAAGTTTGGGATGATATTTATCAACATATTGGTAAGTATATTTTATTGTTAACCAAAATGATGTCTCACAATATCACCATTTAACAAGAATCAGAAAACTGTAGAAAGTTATTATAAAATAAGGATAAAATAAAAAGATAATAAATTTATAGTGGAGATTAAATTAGTCATTCATTGCTTTACTAGAGTTTAATTAATTAATTAATATTGTTAGTAATGATTAATGGAAAGTAATTCCAATTGATTAATAACGAAATTTTTATTTACCTTTGTAAACATTCTAGAGAAAAGAGTTAAAATCAAGATCATTTAACGAACTATCATTACATGTATAAATTTTAAAG